CAATCTGCCAGTGCCTTTAACTGTCTTCTCTGCCCATTCTGCCCTTGAGGGGGACGCAAGCCAGAGTAAAAGGATTCCTGTGGCAGTTGGCGAGCTCTACTGTCTACTGGAGTTCTGCCTGTTCAGTACATACTTCTCCTACAATGGAACTATTTTCCGACAGAACAGTGGAACTGCGATGAGAGCTTCTATCTCTGTCACGATGGCAAACCTGACCATGGAGTACATAGAAGGGAAAGCACTCAGCTCCTTCTCGTCGCGACCCAAGCTTTTTCTCCGCTATGTGGACGGTTGCTTTTGCGTCATGAGGACGTCTGAAGTTAAAACTTCAGACAAAACCTAAATTCCCTGCACCCAGCCATACAATTCACGACCGAGTGTAGAAGCGACCGCTGCCTGCCCTTTCTCGACGTCCAGGTGGCAAGAAAGCGCAATCGCCTGGAGTTCTCCGTTCACAGGAAGCCAACGCACACTGACCGCTACTTTCAATTTGATTCTTTCCACCCCGCTTGCCACAAGGTCTTGGTTGTGACTACGCTACTCCAGAGAGTTAAGAATGTATGTTTCAATGACATAGAGCGAAAGAAAGAAGAGGCCTGTGTAATTGCGCACCTCAGAAAAAACGGATATCCAAAACACTTCATTCGAGCTGCCACCCACCACTCGGAGCAACAGAGCATACGAAAACCCCAATCAACCTCAATTGGCAGCTCTCCGAAACGCGTACCGGTCCCATACGTTCAGGGAACCAGCGACATGCTGGCGCGGATCGTCAAGAAGGAAGGGGTTCGCATTCCGCACGTGCCTTCATGTACGCTGGGCCGCCTCCTCCCCCGCCCAAAAGACTGGCCAACAATGGATAGGAACCCCGGATTCTTTTACAAAATTCTCTGCACCAAGAGCTCTTCTTCTTATATCGGCGAGACGAAAAACTTACCAGAACGACTGAAGCAACATGCCAACGATGTGTGGAAGCTCTACAAGGAGCGCAGCGCAGTCGCCGAACATGCTGAGACGTTGGATCATCGGATAAATTTTGAAGCAATGGCCTTCCTTGGAAGCGAGCCGAACTGGAGGAGAAGGTTACTACTTGAGTCACGGCACATACAGAGGACAGCCCATAACATCAACTGCTCTCTCGGAGTCCTTCCCCTAGTGTACACACATGGACTGTGCTCCACGGCAAAACGAGAGAGAGGGGGTCATTATCCACCCCGCGAGTGCTTTGAAGACACCGCTGCTATGTAGTCCTACAGTCACCCCTGAGGAAAGAACCAAGTCGGTTTCGAAACGTCGGGTTTCTTCAAAACTTTTGGTTGGAGTCTAAATGATCTCCCAATTTCATACCCAACCAGACAGACTTCTGTCGAATGTTTACATTCAATATTTATACATTCCTTGAAGCAATTCAATATCTCACTATGGGGCAGTGAATAAAATAAGGTCATATTATAAATACAAGAATGTTTAGACCAAGAGGCCCAAGGTTCCTTTTGGAAGAATGGCCCACAACTTCTGCCTCACACACTTCTAGGAACTTGAGGTGGCTGGAGCCTTCTTTTAGCTTTTTTTTCCCCATCTCTGAGCAGATCCTGGGTTCTTGAAACTGTTTCGTAACTCTCCCCAGCTTCTCCCACAGCCCAGGTTCAGGACATAAAACCACACGAATCAGTCCCTTAAGGGGAGATGCTACTCAGACACTTTTTCTTTAATATTCACCCTAGAGCAATGAAACTTGAGCTGTTTATGGAACTTTTTATGCTGATTTCAAATATATATTTAGTTTTCTTGCAAGTTGCACACTTTTAGCTCTGCATCATGACAAAATGAAAACATTAACCCTTTTGCCCCCCCTCTTTTCATCCCTAAAATTCTGTAATTTTTACCATTCATAGTTCATAATGCTTCAGATAAAGTGTAGAGTGCAAATAAGTAATTAGGAAGCACATACAAAATATGTAATATGTGTGAAAATTAATAGGCGTAAAAAGTCCATATTTCACATACGCTAGTAAAGGTATACATACAATTTTTTTATTATACAATAGGATATTGAAATTTAAACCAGGTATTGCATTTGTCATGCTTTGGAAAAAATACGGGCAAAGTTTCATGCAGATCCGAGCAATAGAAGTGCCCGAAAAAGAAGGAGCACATAGGAAAAAATGGCAAAAATTTGTGATTTGAGAAAAACGAGTTTTAAAGTTAAAATTGACTTTTTATTTATAAAACATATTATTAAATCAGATGAAATTTCCACACCAAAAAAACAATCCTTCTTGTAGTGGCCACTGCGACTAAAATAGGCCAGCACCATGACTTTGTTCCTCTCAGCTTTTTCGAGCAGACTCCTCACAGATATTTCGCTCACAGTCAGGACATGAAATGCTTGCCAAACTTCCGCTTCATCTGGCAGAGTTTTGTGCCAACTGCAAGCTTGGAAGAAGCTCGACAGGACTGCGAAATCCAAACTTAGTCCAGTGTCATGCCATTTTGCAGCCATGTTTGTGCCACATACCGTCGTACATAATGGCAATGTCGTCCCTGCCAACGTTACTAGATAGGTTCAGTTGTAAAACTCTCCCCATGCGCCGCCGGCGTCTTCGTTTCTTGGCGTGCCGCGAGAGGGCGGGACCGCCGCATTTTGCTCTACCCGGCCGCTGCTCATCGCGTGCAACGGCGCTTCTCCCAACGCCGCTTCGGCCTTCTCATGACGTTAGCGCACGATAACATCAAAGATTACTCGCTACCCGTCAAGTTGTCCGCGTCCAGACTACATCTAGGCCAGAGTACTTTCCAGTAGCTGCTCAGGATCGCTTAATGTGGGGCAGAAAAGCCGTCCGTTACGGCTCATTGCATTGCTTTCTACAACAGGTCAGCCGAAGCGCATCGTAGTTTGCGCGCGCTTGCGTCGGCTGCTCGCCGGCAGTCAACCACGAGCGTGAACGGTCTGCCGCAAGCTGGTAGCATGGAACAAGCCTCCGTTAAAACTTATTTTGATTGTCTCTTCCGAATTTTATAAAAAATCACGAAACCGCTCATTTTGTTTCCAGCCAAAGAAGCAAGGTCACCATTGGAGCTACGTCATTTAGTGGCTCTAGTAATTATGGCCACTCGAAGACGAAACTTCCCAATTGTCTCGACGTCCTTTTTGGAATAGTACCTTTTCCATGTCTTGCCCTGACAACAGTTAGCTTTACCAAACGTCACCAAGAAGCGACATTTCTGCAAAAGGCGAAATAGCTTTAATTGAAAGAATTATTGAGTCAATTAACTGACGAAGTTAAACCAGCTTACATGTCAATAAGCATAATGTTCTTTTCAGCAATTTATTGGTTTTCACAGTGCACACTTTACGGCAGACACAAAGTAGAAAAATATATGCAACGTTTTTTTTTTTAATTTACAATCAACTCCACACCTTTTTTGCTTGAGGTGAATATTGCTACAATATACCAAAGCATGTTAAAAGAAACGAAGTAAGTAATGAATAGATACATGCAAGCATTTTTATTTACAAATCAACTCCACATCTTTTTTGCTTACGGTGAATATGGCTACAAAATACGAAATCATGTTGACAGAAAAAAAGTAATGAATAGATACATGTATGCAAGGTTTTTTTTTTTCATTTACAACAAACTCTACAACTTTGCCAGCGTGCTTACAGCAGCTTAGCGCGTTTGGGCACCAAAAAAAAAAAAAAAAAGCTCCTTATCCGGTGAAAGCTCCTTATTCGCACGCGGGATGGCTTTATTCCAAAGCGAGCGAAGCGGCGCATCTTTGGGAGCCGAGAAGAAGTGCCTGTCCGTGTTGTTCTTGTTGCTGCTGTAGCCACTGGTACACCCGGGAACGAAGCAGGTCGGCATTGTCGGCCTCAGCCTCACATGCAGAGGCCCACAGCAATGAAATACAGTTGCTGGAAAATCACTAAATGTGCCACTCGAACGGCATCGCTCATTCAGCACTTCTGAAAACGACCGCGCGAACAAGAAACGCCGGAGACCGGGGCACCGAATGCGCCGGCTACTGCGGCGCATAAGCGAAACCGCCTGCGAGCGCCCCGGCAACGGAGCCGGTTGCGACTGCAGCGCCACAGAGAGAAAGATCGGTGGCGGTTCCGGGCAGCGCCGGCCAGTTTTACAACTGAAAATAATCTAGTAACATTGGTCCCTGCTAAGTTCTCTCACTGCGAGCTTTTTCGACTTCTCAAGATTGGCGCTGACGTCATCCATTGTCGCATCGCGAACTTTCCGGCTGACGGGTGTGAATGACTTTGATGCATTGGCTTTAGCAAACCAACAACTTCCACAAATCGGACCAGCTGCTCGTAGCCTATTCCTACAGAGCGCGCCGCACAACGACTTTCACTTGCGAGCAATGCCTTTTTTCATTCATAACGGAGATAATTACACGAGAAAAGCACTGTTCAGCTGCGCTGCTCGACCAGACATGGACCCCGCAAATAGGTTTCACAGCACATACAGGCGCGCAGCGGCCAATGGCGGTCCCCGATTCGTACCATGTGATAAGCCAGTCGTGGTGCTCGAAAAAGGCGCAGAAGAGTGATTCTTTTTAATATTTCTTGCGCTGCATCAGCGAGAGAAACTGTTGTTATTTGAAGAGTGAGGCTCGACACTTCGACTAATGCGATCAACAATGGCTAGTGGCAGCGCATTATCAAGGGCAAGGTGCTCGAAGACTGCACACTTACAACCTTTTAACAGGCACCTTGTGCTCTTGAGATGAAATTTTAAAGCTTTTCCAGTCAAGTCTCGACCTGTATTATTTTTTTAATAACAGTAGAGGTACTAGTATTATCAAAACAGGCGAAAATAAAAAATCGGTAATTTTGAAAAAAACTCGCGTTTTTCGACCCGCATCTGCCCTTAATTTCAGATTTCAATCCCATCTACATTCACCCAGCATGATTTGTGCTTGTGTAGTGCTGTTAAAATGTGGAGTGCTCGTTCTTACCTACGTTGTTGCGTTTGTTCTAGGGAAGCGATGAGAGCTCGGGAGGCCAACGCAGCCAAGCTGGCAGAGAGGAAAAAGGAAGCTGAGGCTGCGGTACGTTTTGTGAACTACGTTTATGTTTTCCGTGCGCGTTCTGTCTGGTAGCACCTTTGTTGTAAATGTTGCTGCTGCGACCAGAGCCGTAGGGGCTGTATTTGGAGGGTGACAAAGTACAGCAGTGCTTGTGCAGTACTTCTATGTAGGTGCACCTTTAAAGACTCCGGGTGATCAAAACTAATCTGAAGTTAGCCACTATGGCATGCCTTTATTATATGACAAGGTGTCGAAGGGAGAGGCATTGTTCAAAATTTACATCGTCCTATTTCATAACATCGAACACTGCCACGCAGTGGGTAGTGACATATCAAAGGAGAGAGCAAGCTATTTGTGATTGTTTTATGACAAAAGCTGCTGTGAGATGAGAACAACAGCCATTTCTGGTGGGGTGGTTGTCTGCCACCACTGCCGCTGGCGTTCATAGCTACTATCATGCACAATGATAAATATATACCATAAATTTTGAGAGTTTTGAACCTGGCCCTTTGCGTGGTTGTCCTCTATTCTATCACGAAGCCACACCGGTACTTGAAACTCGCTGTCAATAGGGCCCTACACATGCGCCATGTCTTGCAAGCATTTATGTTAACAGATGTAATATAGCGAAGTAGAAGAGTAAAATAACACTGGATGTAACTCAATGTGAATTGCATTACGAGTGAGTGGCCTAAATCTTTCACTCATTACAAAAGACTCAGCCATAATTGATCATCATTCATCACAGCACCAACAATGTGCACATACTCATGCCTTACAGACTCGTCTTGGGTACTTCACATCTCTGCAAAAAGATGAATGGTGGAGTTGCCCGTCCCATGCTAGTTCAAACACTGAAGGACCTAAGTGAAGTTTTTTCATTTAATACGTAATGGGTGTTTCCCTCACTTTAAGAAATTATTATTATTTATCGTGTTGTGGTTACATTACAACTGCATTTACAGTACTAGTCGCCGCTAGAGTGTTTACAATAGGATTTAGCGAGGCCACTTATTTCCAGATTCCACTGTGACTGGCTGCGTGTTTCGTGTAGGCCTGTTGTTTTTCTTTCTTTTTTCGTCATAAAATTGTTGATTTCCTTCTGTGTGCAGTTCACTAATGTGTATTTCGCACACATGTTCACATAGAAGCCTTGACTTCGATCGACAATGCTTTCTTATTATGTTCAAAAAGTGTAACATTTGTGTTGTTTGTGTTAATTGAGCTTTAAAGTACGTACTTTGGTTTTTGCTTTACACAAATGCCGCTGCATCTTTTAGTTGGTGGAAGCTTGACTGAGAGAGCAATTTTGTTGTGACATTGCGAATGCAGGTGGCACTGATGAGAGAGACGTACCTGAGAATCAAAAGCTCCGAGGTCGAACGAGGTGGGCTCGTCATCGTCGAAGCTCTCTACGGAAACTTCTCCGAGGAAGAGGAGAACAATGTGTGAGTTTGTTGGTTCTTTGTAGACTGACCAGTCGCTATTTGCCGCAACCTCGAAGTTCCATCTCACTGACGTGGCGTGCACTTAAGTCACGTTAGCAAACAAGACAACACAGTTCAGCTCAATTGCTCTACAAGAATACTCTTAGTTGGGAGAACATGCTCCGTCTGTCAAACTGAAAGCTTTCCTGATTTCTTCTTTTGAGCGTGATGACGAAATAGGCACAAACTCGGTATTGAAAATTGTGCTTGCCTCCCTCTTTTTTTTCTGATCATCAATGTTAACGGCCTTTTATGTTTTTCTAGTCTGGTAATAGTACATTCAGGTGTACATTGAACTCTAAAAAATTGGCTATGCATAAGGTTTAAGTAAGTTCAGCAGGTAAGCACAACACAAACGATGTCTGTCAAAGTATCCATCTCGAAGGCACATAGAAAAGAGCTAGCGGGCTCTGGCGAGCATACACGTGGTTTTGGAGATATTATTAGACAGTTGCTGAGTACTGTTGCAGCAGGCTCAGTACAAGACATGTGAATGATGTGGGCACATTGTGTTTTATGGAGCATGTATGTACAATGTGATGGGTGCTGCCAAAAGCAGTACTTTTGACTCTGATCCTAGAGTGCAGCACGTCGGACAACTTGTCGAATATTGCAGTGCATTCACTAAAGTGACCTATTACAGTGATAGGCAGCCTACTGTAGTTACCGTAATTACTCGAATCTAACGCGCACCTTTTTTCCGGTTAAGCGAGTTCGTAAGTCGCATGCGCGTTAGAATCGAGTACGAACAAAAAAATTACGGTCAATCTATTGCCATTGGCAAATCCAAAATGGCCGCCCCCTACGTGCGTCGGCATGGCGCGTCGGCCATTTCTGCCTATGTGTTTCCCATGTGCGACACTTCGTACGTGTGCTGAGGAGTTCATCATCTAGTAGTGCATTAGCATCGACGGCGTGGAAGGGCCGACTCCAAAAACTCGAGTGCACCACGATGCCGCTTTTAAAAGAAAAGTCATCGCGTGTGCAGAAACGGACGGAAATCGGGCCGCATCGCGGTCGTTCGGAGTTCCCGAAACGTGCGTGCGGGACCGGCGGAAACAAAAGCAGAAGATTGTCGACAGCAAAGCTTCACGCAAAGGCTTCAGTGGACCACAGCAAGGTCGGTTTCCGCGAATAAAGAACTGCTCGGCGAGTATGCGCTTGAGCAGCGAGCGGCACAGCGGCCCGTGACAACAGAACTGCTCCAAGTGCGGGCTATGCAATTAGTCTTAGAAAAAGGTCTAATGCGGAGCCAGTTTAAAGTGAGCAGGTGCTGGCTAACTAACTTTATGAAGAGCAAAGGCTTTTCCCTCCGAAGGGGAACATGCATATGCGAAAAGTTTTGCAGTGGAGTACGATGAAAAGCTTCACAGTTTGCAGAGGTTCGTCCTAAACTTGCGACGCAACAACGGCTACCTGCTTGGGCAAATCGGGAATGCTGGTCAGACGCCTCTTTACTTCGACATGCCTGGCACCACAACCGTCGAGAAGAAGGGGGCGAAGCAAGTTCGCGTGCTGACATCGGGCCACGGTAAAACTACAGTGACGGCAATGCTCTGTTACACGTCAGATGGGCACAAGCTTCGCCCGTACCTCATATTTAAGTGCAAGACGCTCCCGAAAGGAGTCGTTTTTTCGAGTGGTGTGATCGTGCGGGCCAGCGAGAAAAATGGGTGCGCGTTGCAATCGATGTCTTACGTTTTTTTTTTTTTTTTCGCTGTGGAAATCGGGTGCGCGTTACAATCGAGGGCGCGGTAGAATCGAGTAAATACGGTAAGTCAAAACATACCGACTGTGCCGAAAGTTGGGTTCGTCGAATGAGCGTATTTTACTCTCATATAGTCACAGCTTGACACAACTAACATAAAAAGTTGCATACACACACATAACCACCTCCTCTGGAGGGGATATTTGAATTCTGCATGCCTGTTTTTCAGGATACTGAAGTTGTTTCTCATTCTAACAATTGAGTTACTCGTGAGTTGACAAAAGCTTTTCACATAAGAAAAAGAGGAGAACAATGCATGAGCCAACCTTCGATGTTGCTGCATGATAAGGAGTTTGCTTTTCTAGATTATGTTTCTGGTTAATCTTTTTGTTTTTTCACTGACTCATCTTTTGTTGTCAACGTCGTACTTTTTGCCTTCACACGCATGCGTTTATATTGATTGCCTGCTTATATATTCTTCTCTTTCCAATAAATCTTTCAGTTGCGAGAAAGCGCTTGTCCTCTGTTTTTTTGTCTTTCTTTGTGCACTTGAACTACAGTTATACTCTGCACCCCTGTTAATCTCTCAGTCAACAGAACTCCTGTCAAATAGAACATATTTTTTTGGGGGGGTTGCTTTTAACAAGAGTCTGCTGTACGATGACCATTGTGACTATTGAAATCAAGGTCTTATCTAATCTAACCGTGAATGCCGTAACTGTCTCACTCAAGGCCTGCAAAGAACAGGTCTGTGCTCAGCATCTTGTAGGGCTTCCCGTCGTTGAATTAACATTTTTATGAGAAAGACACGGGTACACCAAAGGCCACTGATAAGCACCTACTGCTTCACTCCTTAAGATAAGCAATAACTGATGGCTGTGAGTTTCTGGTTGTTTCAATTGCAGTTCCCAGACGACCGTCCGGGAAGTGGTGGACGTCACAATTCCCCTACAGTGCCTTGTGAAGGATTCGCACCTCATGTTGACGGATGCATCCAAGGTGCGTTAGTGCAGCAGTGTCAAATGGCCAGAGTGACGACGTGTCATTAATAACTATAGAATCTGTAAATTTTACTCACCCACTACACCATGACTTAAACAAACATGTGAAGTTTGTTTAGGTGCTCTGTTAATGTACCTTTTATCCAGTTTCTTTCTTCTTATGCCCGAGTTGTGCTGAGCGGCTCCAATGCGTTCACGTGCTCACAAGCAGGATGACATCATAGCTCATTGGTTTTTCAAGTAACCTAATGTGTTCTGGTGAAATGGACATGTCCACCAAGTGGACACACCGGTAATAGCACCCCTGACCGGCCTAACTTCACGAACAGTATCTCCACATTAAATAGAAACTCAACACAAACTAACTCTACTGATACAAACTCCTCGTCGGAAGAAGACTCCACCAACAGAAACTCTGTGTATAAAAAACTAATAAACTGCAAAACAGTAGCAGCAGTACCTTGGTGAGAAAACGCATCACACCAATATCAGGCTCTGCCATGAACATCTGAGCCAGATCTTGCAGCAATGTATGGTTAGGAGAGCTTACAACAGCATCATAAAGCTGCCATTTTCTCAAGCGCCCTCTTTTTTTATAGAGGCCCATCCCCACTTCAGTAGCTTCAGCGCTGTTGGCACCTGCTATTAGCCAATAGTCAGCATAAATCAAGAGGAGTGTTTGCATCAGATTCACATGTTACCACAGGGTGCCATCGCTGGCAGGTACTGTGCTCCATAGTCTGCTCATGATACACAGTGAGATACATTTGTGAGCAGGAATAGCAAAAAGGAAACAGGAATCGCATTTCAGCACGTGACCTTAAAGTCATGACACTCACTGACGTAACTTCTTTCCCTTCATGCCTTCCCTAGATGCGTACATACCACTGTGCTTCTCGGGACGGTAGAAAATATAAGGTGCTTGAAACATGCAGCAAACTCCTGTAACTTTGTTCCTTCTTGAATGGTTTGAGAAATTTCGCCTTTGCGGCAGTAGATTCAGGAGGCAATAAACTCAAGTACTGAAGTCATTCAGTGATTACTTGGCAATGTGGTTCATGAACCCTGTAGTCCAGCACTGTGAGTGTCGGGCAGTGCTACCTTGAGTATGGTGTAAGTTGTGTTACAGTTTATCAGTGTGCTCTTTCGTGTCTGCTCTCATGAAATATCACGTGGCTCATTTCTGTCACCATCATGTCTGCAGAGCAACCTGCCAGGCTTCTATGACCCTTGCCTGGGCGAGCCCAAATCGCTGCATGTACGATACCGCTTTAGGAATCTAGACCACGAAGTCAGGCTGGCAGACGAAGAGGCTGTCCGCATACCTAAGGAGTGTAAGTAAACATGCCCTCACAGTTCTGGCCGGGACACTGACGATGTGTATCATGGTGCTTTGCTGAAGGTACTAAGGGCTCTGCAACACTTACTGAGCATGGTCTCAACAACTTGGGAGGCAGTGAGTGCAGCTCTGAGGAGTTGCTAGTGCCTGGAGGACACATACTGAGCATTGTCAAAAAACACAGCTGATAAATAGACGAGGTAACCGAGACCATGTGAGCCAATATTACAGCGCAGTAATTTAAAAATACTAGTGCTTCAGACTTTAGATTTGGCTCTCAAGGTCAGCTAGAAAATGCTTTTTCTTCTCCCAAGAAATGATGCTATAAGCCCTAATGACCACGCCATATGTTGCGGCGTGCATGCGTGCGCTTTCGCGATCTCATTGAAAGTAAGCTAGTACCTATACGAGTGAAAAAACAAGCAAACGAAATGAACTGCTTAAGTACCCCCCTTGCCTTCTAACCCTACATCCCCTACAGCTTTCAGCGTGCTCGCTGGTGCAAAAGGAGAGAGAAAGTGCCTAAGGGGACACTAAAGTCAGATAATGATTTAGTTAAAGTGAAAGCTAAATGTATGAAAATGTCTAAAACGACAATATTATCAACAGCAGTGCCCATCTGTCCAAGAAATCAAGGTAAGTGCAAAGAATACATGCGCTATGAGTAGGACATTCCCAAATGATTCCGATGACGTCAGTGGTACTGCCTACAATTAATCACTAGTAATCAATCTAGTTATACTAAATAAACAACCTTCCATGCATCAAGAGATGTAATAAAATGCTGCTTGTTCGTTCTGTTTTTTTTTTCATGCAAAAAAGAACCGCTGGATGCAGTGGCGGATCCAGAGGGGGGTCGGTAAGGGTAATCGCCACCCCCTCCACTCCCCACCCAAAGCCTGTCGGCACGCCCTACCCCTCTCTTTAGCGCTTACCGTCCACCTGCTCTCACCAATCAGAAAAAATGAGTGGGATTACTTTGACCTTACATTAACAGTATTTATGCTATGACAGACTTCTGATGCTTGTAAAAAACAGAAAAATTAAGGACTACACGCCCTCTCTGGTGTTACTTCAAGTGCCCCGCCTCCTAAAATGAGTGACTGTATCCGCCCTTGGCCGGACGTTACTATGGGGAACGGCACGAGTGGTTCAAAAATTGGATTTTCGCGTGGTTAAACTGGACATATCGTGCCATCTAGCAGGGCCCACTTGAACCAAGCACACCTTCAATTTTGTAGGCCATGACTAAGAATTGTTCAATGGCCATTGTTGCTGCTGTGGCTCCCAGCTACTTTCTCGCTGCTTCTACTATAGTCTCGGCAGCGCGCAATAACCAATAATGTTGTGCATGGCAACAGTGACATCAGATGTTCTGTTGAGGCGGGCAATTTGAAGTGTGCTAACTCGATTCAGACCACTAAAACGCGATTTTATTTCAAAATAAGCCCTTCCTCGGCACAAAAATAGCACTACGAAGTTTCTGGCTCGTGACTTCAACAATCAACGTCTTCTTAATAGTTTCCTTTAGTGTCCCTTTAAAGGGCGTGACAAATGTCTAACTACGCTCATACTTGACGCATATTGAAAATTTTTGCAGCAGCTGGTTCGTGTTTGTGAAGCAAAAAACTGCTTTAGTGAAACCATTCCATGAATACCTTACAGAGGATTGCAGGGCCCCCTTGAGTACATTTGTGCTTTGTTACATTATTTATGACACTGTTTGTACTTATGCTTTTGCCTAACACCATATCTGTTGGCTTACACTGCGTCAGGGTTTTCAGATAATGGTGTCTTATAGGCTGCCAACATTGCCTCGGTTCATACGAAGCACCTCATTACCTGACCAGTGTTGCCACCTTTGAACCAGTGCATTAAAAGCGTTTAAGGAGCTGTGGAGCTTCACTTGACTCATTAAACTCATCAAGTGCTTTGTGTGCATCTGGAAATGTGCTGTCATCTTGTTGCACAGCTGCCATTGGCATGGTGCACCAGATAACTGAAAGCAGAGTTTTATTAATGTAAACTACTACGATAACCCTATGTAAAGTTGAGCGCAACATTACATGAATGCATACCTGTGCAAACACATAGGCCTTTTTTCTTTTTATTTCTGTACTCTCCACACTTATAGGTTTCAGTTTACAGGGGTGTAACAGCTGCGCCAATTGCGCCAATTTGATACAATTCCCCATTCTTGCGCCCAGCTGCGCCAAAACCTTGAAATTTGCTGAAGTTGTGCCACAGTCGCACCGAAATGCCCGACCAGCCTCGAAGTTTTGTCAGTTGCACTAATTTCAGTGCAGAAACGGTGGCTAGATTGGCTATCTGCTTGAAATTTCGTGCAGAACGCTGCTTAACCCACCTTTGCCGCCGTACACCGACGCCCTGCAGAAAGGCGTGTTTTGAGTTTTTAGGGGGTGTTAGCACAAATAATGGGATACAGCACATCTTGTTCAACCACTTATGTGTGTCTACGGCGCATAATTGCGAGTACTAATAGGATCGATGACGTCTGAAAAAGTTACTGGCAATTATTTGGAGCAGTGTATGACATTTCTGGCGCCATAAAAAAACTGTCTGCCAGTTTTTATTTTTTTGCCACCCCTACGAATGCTTTAATTTCAAGGTGGCCAGCTTGGCAGATCCAGATTTGAATCTGCAGAGTCAGACGTGGCAAATGCTAGTGCGGATGTTATCATTGTTTGCTCAGTGAGGTGGTTCATAATACTAATTTTTTGAAATAGTAGGTCTCTTACTCACACTGCACGATTTAGGGCATGTTTAATAAGTTGTACATATCTTTTTTCTAAATGTAATACTTCTTTTTCATACTGCTCCAAATATGGTCTTTTGTGATAAGAAGTGAATGTTGTGCTCTCTGTAACCTGCTCCAAATCTGGATTTTTGTGCTCTAACAGTAACATTTTGCTACTCCAAAAATTGCTCCAAATTCCATTTTTGCGGTCACACACCTGAGTTAAGCAATAAGAGAATAATTTCTGTGCATTGCAGTATATTAAAGTTAATTATTTTATGATATTTCTTGCCTAATATGAGAAAGCTTTCTATTTATTCATGGATGTATATCTTTTAGATAATATGTGCTAATTAAATACACATTTAGTGTTGGAACTTACAGCATAGCCTTTTTGGTTGACTGAAGAGTTGGTGTCTTCCTGAATACTGCACAAAAATGCATGAGCCCGTGTGGGATTTCATAAAAAACAGTGCTGTGATTGTTTAATACTTAGTATACAGGGTGTCTCGATTATCACGCTGCATGATTTTAAAAAAGAGGAATGGCGTTATGCAAAGAAAACCTAATGCATATTGTTCCCACTATACTAAAGTAGTCACTACTAATTTTTTCGCTAATGATGATTAACTATGTATTCTAATTATATTTGTAACTCGAAAAGTACTCACCTTATTATCAAAATGTCAACAAGGCAGATGCGCATCTGTTGAAATGACGCCTGTCTGCTACTTCTAACAATGTATCAATTGCGGGATCATTCATATTTATGAATAAAAAAAGCCCGCAAAATATGAAAAATACCACATGACTGCACTCACACCCACAAAATGAAGCAGCACCCTCAAATAATCTTACTTGAAGCAACCGTTTCGCCTTTTTCCATTGCCCAAGACAGCGTTTTGCACATTGCGAAGAACACAGGTCTGGTGCTAACAACCTGTATCACAGTTTTGCAGCAATTCCTTCCTCTTGATTTTACATTGCTATCACATTTCATATCTCACGGTCAATTGTTCTTATGGCTGGAACAGTGTTCAGGATTGGAGCATTACAGCTTGACTGTGTAAGAAATGTAAGTGGCAGATAGTGCAATCCGTATTTTTTTTCTTTCTACATTTCCTTGATTGCTACTGGCTATTTCAAGGTGAGGTGCTTTGAGGGTGCTTCTTTTTAATACGCCCGGCGGTCTAGTCAAAAGTTATTTTTTGTATTTCGGGGTCTTTCTTTACTAACAGAAAAAAAAAGAGCACACAATTAGTACGTTACTGAAATTAGATGGGACAGATGTCATTTCAACAAGCAAACATCTACCTTATTCACATTTTGATGATCAAGCGAGTACTTTTTCAGTTACAAATATGATCGACTAATTAATTAACTATATAACGAAAAAAATAGTAGCAGCTGCTACTCGGGTAACACCTTTCCTTTTTTTAAAATCACGCGGCGTGATAGTTAGGACGCCCTGTATATTTCTTACTGTATACTGGTACATTTCTTACAAGCTGACAATAATCTCCCTCTCTTTCTACTTGCAGCACATCTCACGAGATCATAGTAATTCATGGAGATGCAGTAGCGTTTCGCATTGCCTTCTTGTCAACGTAGAAGAATTATTGTAAAGATAATAAAATAGAATGAGATTTATCTTTGTTCCCTGGCTTTGTTCTTCAGCATGTCTGTTTCAACAGAAATATTAGCGAACTCTTTTACATTTGTACCTTGATTTGCTGTTAGCCACATAGGGTACGGCTTGTTATGTTCAAAGGCCGGCACATACTACAGTCATACTCAAACATATCGAATCTGAAGGGGCCCACAAAAAAGGTAATATATAGGTCATTTGATATATAAAATGTTTTACAAATTGAAACTATTTCAAAGGAATTTTTTGACTGCTAGATATACACAATAATTTGTTATATGCAAATTCAATATATGTTGGTTTGACTTTGTTTCTGTAGGATTATTTGCGACACCGGTGTTGCTTTTGTTAAGTTGTTAATGTGCTTGCTGCAGTTACCCAATGAGTGTTTTAAAAAAGACTCTAAAAGGCCGCTCTTCTAGCTTTCGCGGTGACTGTGCTGCGCCTTCCGCGCAGGCCTGGCGTTTTTTTTTTTTTTCTTTTCCTAGATCAAAGTGAACTAAAATTAACTTTTAATGGTATCAAGAAATATACAGCAGTCGGGGGCAGGTTATAACTGGTACAGTGCGTTCAGTTGTAGGGGTTGTTATACTTAGCGCTAATAAGCCCGCATAACTGTCTTAATCTTAAAAATAAATAATTGAGGTGGTGGTTGTATGCATATTTCGCCTTAAAGTGTGGCATCGCGGCAGTGCGGAACTTGCCTGAATAAGTTGTTTTACGGCATAGCATTTATACGCTGCAGTGAAACTACATTTACAGAGCGAGCTCTATGCGCTTTAATGCACATATATATCGAATACTTCGTATTTTAGAATACTATAAGTTCGTGTAGAATCGAAATATAGTACTGTAATATTCTTTAAAATATTCGAAGCGGCCAAATACTTGCCCATTCCTAGAAACACGACAAGATTATGCGTGTTTTTTTTTTTTTGCGTTGTTCAAATGCGCAGTTATTTCTCTAGTACTGTACTGTTTGTAGTTTCTGAAATGTCAATTATTTTACGTTCTTTTGGAGAGAAGGCTTCTGCTTAAACTGACAGTTACAACGAAAATTAGAACAGCATGTCGTAAACCAAGCATTTATGTTTTAAACCCATTTGGACAAAAGTTGTGGTACGTTGAACATTCGCGAGTGTCGATTTCACGCTGTGATTTCGCTTTCTATGTTCGCCAACCACTGAAAATCAGAGATGTGCGTGCCATTTGGTGGGCCTGATAGCGCGTTAGAACTGCCTGATGCGCTGTGGTAGTTGAATTCAAACGCTGCGCGTCCTCGCGTCGTTTGAGTTTCGCGTCAACGGAGGGCGCACGTTGTCCGATGATCAAGGGAACGACGGTGCATGTCCTAATTGAATGTGGAGATATAAACTCAGGTGTACGCTTGGGCGTGAGCCTACATCGCCTACGTGAAGCTTTGGTTTTCAGGGACGACAATGGAAAGCTGAACAAGCCCGCGATAGAAGTAAGAGATGGTAAGAGTATAATTGGTGGCAAAAAACTAAGAGGAAAGACAAAAATAGATAGTGGGGAAAATGAGGACATTACTCCATAAAGGGCAGAGAATTGGGCTATATATTCGCATTATTTTCTCATCTTAATTAAGACAGATTTCATATAAATTGAAAATTAGGACATTCAGCCAACTTAAAAAAAAGAGAGAGAAAACTTTTTTTTTTTCCAGATTTGACGAGTCTGGCGGCACACTTGTCACCGTTCCGTTGAAGTACCGTTGTAAAGAGTGTGCTCCAAACATACATCCATATGTCTATAAACAAGGGAGAAAATTGAATAATTGCAACAGTTATGTGTCAAATAATAGAAATAAAGAATAGAAATAGTATATACGCTGGAGTTGAAGTTCATATAAGCACTGCTTTTTCGTAATAAAAGAAAACGATGAAAAATGCCAGGTGACCACAGGTTGACGTGGCCGTTACAGAAGGAATATTGATAAAAATAAGTCGTCATCATCAATATGTCGCCTGTAATAATAATAATAATAATAATAACGATAATCGATGTCAGGCCTTAGTTGGGTACGGTCAGTTTCTGGCTTGCCTGTTTCCCCTGCTACCACTTATCATCCACGCTGTGGTGTGACCAACGATATTTCGCGAGAAATTGCATGCTTTAAAGCTCGCTGTTAAATGCTGCGCGCGCGCGCATGCGTGCGTGTGTGTGCGTGTGTGTACAAACAAAAGAAGAAAGCATAGACGCCACCACCAGAAACAACAAGTATACTCGCAAGCGTCTGAACTGTCTACTCGCAAGATATCTTTCGAGCAACCAGAATGTGCCGGAAGTCCCGGTAAAATTTCGGCTTTTTCTTCATGGTACGGAACAGCACCAGGCCATAGGGAATTACGTACCTCGGGTCTATCATCCGCTTCGCATCCGCATTTACGAGTTTTCTGTAAGTTCACTGCGCACGACAACGCAGGTGATTGATTGACGTGTGGGGTTTAACGTCCCAAAACCACCATACGATTATGAGAGATGCCGCAGTGGAGGGCTCCGGAAATTTCGACCACCTGGGGTTCTTTAACGCGCACCCAAATCTGAGCACACGGGCCTACAACATTTCCGCTTCCATCAGAAATGCAGCCGCCGCAGCCGGGATTCGATCCCGCGACCTGCGGGTCAGCAGCCGAGTATACCTTAGCCACTAGACCACCGCGGCGGGGCGACAACGCAGGTGAAACTACCATTAAAGATACAGACAGTGCACATTTGAGGTCCGCGTCTTCTAGGCCGTAAGTCGTGTGCCGTAAGTCGTGTGCTTTAAACGCTTGTAGAACGGGCGAAATGCGCCATCGCGCTCATATGTGTCGTTAATATTTAAAGCTGTGCGAAAGACGGAAGCGCTTCGAAATAGGTAATAGTGCACTTTTAGGGCAGGTAATAACCGCAGAGCCGAACCACGAGATTGAAGTAACCAGAAGAATAAGAATGGGGTGGAGCACATTCGGCAAGCACTCCCAAATAATGACAGGTAGATTGCCACTATCCCTCAAGAGGAAGGTATATAACAGCTGTATCTTGCCGGTACTCAGCTACGGAGCAGAAACCTGGAGACTTACAAAGAGGGTTCAGCTTAAATTGAGGACGACGCAGCGAGCAATGGAAAGAAAAAAATGGTAGGTGTAAACTTAAGAGACAAGAAGAGAGCAGAGTGGATTAGGGAACAAACGGGGGTTAAGGATATCATAGTTGAAATAAAGAAGAGGAAATGGACATGGGCCGGGCATGTAGCGCGTAGACAGGATAACCGCTGGTAATTAAGGGTAACTGACTGGATTCCCAGAGAAGGGAAGCGGGTTAGGGGGAGACAGAAGGTTAGGTGGGCAGACGAGATTAAGAAGTTTGCGGGTATGAATTGGCAGCAGCAAGCACAGGACCGGGTTAACTGGCGGAACATGGGAGAGGCCTTTGTCCTGCAGTGGACGTAGTCGGGCTGATGATGATGATGATGAAAGACGGAAGCGCGATACAGAAAAACAAAAAACAAAAACAGAATCAGCCATAGTGGATCAGTTACTGCGATGCTCGGCTGCTGACGTGAAGGTCGTGGGTTCGATACTGGCCGTGGCGGTCGCGTTTTGGTGAAGGCGAAATGCTAGAGCCCTGTGTGTTGTACGATGTCACTGCACGTTATAACGAACACCAGGCGGTCAACAATTTCTGGAACACCACACTACGGCGTCCCCCGGCCATATTCATATCGGGGTTTTGGGACGTGAAGCCCCGGATATTATTATTCTAAAAGAAGACCACACCACAAGGCGCTGCAGTCCGGTGCCTTCAGTGGCTTGTCCTGTGGTATTATTTGTCTTGCGCTTCCGTCGCTTGGGCTCCTACATCATTTCGCTCGGCGCGATGTATACGTTTATGTTTCGGTCTCATTTGCAACGTTCTTTTCTTTACTAAAACAAGAGGAACACTTTGCGTACGCCGGCAGCAGCTATACGGCAGGCCACACAATTCGAGCCTCATTTCGCAGCATAAAGAGGCCAGCACACTGCGGCGGCGCTGCGTTAAGCAATCTCCAAACTTTTTTTATTTTTCTGTCTATTCTTTCCACATAAAATAGAAGCCTCGAAGATGGCGCTACATGAAAATAAGATTAACATCAGTTTTTACATGTGCCTGCCGACGTAAGCAACCTAAGTACGGCAAGAAATGACGTTTCTTTTTTTGTGTGTGTGTGTGTGTGTGTGCGCGTGCGTGCGTGTGTGTGTGTGTGTGTGTGTGTGTGTGTGTGTGTGTGTGTGTGTGTGTGTGTGTGTGTGTGTGTGTGTGTGTGTGTGTGTGTGTGTGTTTCACTCAGTTTCTGTTTGCCATTCGTTGGGAACCCGCGTAGATTGCTGCTGAGAACTCAAAGCGAGTTTCCAAAATAAATAGAAGAAAGAAGAAGAAAAAAGTACAAGGAATCGTGAAAGACGCCGGCACGAGGTGAAAACTTGAGAGTTCCCTATATATACAGGGTCCCGTGTGGAGGAAGGGGCGGACACAAAGTAGGTCGGGGGTGCGGGGGGTGCAGGGCTTATCATCCGTTGAATATACGACACGATCACGTATCATAGAAGCACCACAGTGCCGCATTACCCGGGAATGAAAGGCTTCGCCAGACATGGATTTGACGGTATCGATTGACGAAGAAAAAGGGCGGATATATATTTTTTTCAATTATTTTTTATAAACTTTTTTACGCCTTTTTATGCAGCTCCCCGCTGCCAGACAACGTCGTGAAAATCCTTTACACCGCAACTCGGAAGGAATAAAGAAACCGATTTGCCATCCCAACGCCTTTGGATGAAAAGGCCGCTCGGCCTTTTGTATTTTGCGTTTCTATCGATGTCTCTTCCACTAGATGCATTCAGTTCTGCTCTCGTCCCGTCCTAATCTGCGTCTACACAGCAGGTCTTTCTTTGGTAACACTGTAGCACAGCTTCTTTAGCTCAAGAATAATGCATTAGTTCGCCGCAGGTCAAGATATACATCATCTCGCCGCTGTGCGTTTTTTTTTCTCTTTTTATGTCGTTTTATGATATCACTCGTAGCTTTTTTTCTTTATTTAAGTCGGTTATTATAGCCGCAAGCCTTGGTCTGCCACAGTTTTGTGAATATCAGTTCGCAAGCCAACCAGAACGATTTCTCACGCGAACTGACCCGCAAGCGAATACAAATTACAGTGAGCCATTGTCCGAAACTAGATCGGACGGTTTTACAGAGAGGATCAAAACTACCTTCTTTCTCACTCAAATACTCTTTCTTTCTTTCTTTCTTTCTTTCTTTCTTTCTTTCTTTCTTTCTTTCTTTCTTTCTTTCTTTCTTTCTTTCTTTCTTTCTTTCTGAGTGATTGCAAAATTTGCGGTCCATATTGCGTACGTTGGGTCATTCCCCAATCAACGCCCATTTCTTTCGTCAAAATTTTCAATAGCGTTACGCAAACGCATTTGTTTTTTAAATTTATTTATTTATTTGTTGCTCGTTTGTTTGTTCGTATGTTTTATTTGGTCTGGGTGGGGTGAAACTCTCGCACGCGAGTGCCAATAACGATTCAACGCAGCTCGTGTAGAATGCTTTCTGCCTAGATCGCTGATCACACCTCGCGAAATATTTTTTTACACGCGTCGTATAGCGTTTCCGAACTGTCCGAGGCTCATTTCACAACTATACGAGCTCGCTTGCGCAGTGCGGTTGTGGTGGGGCACTTTGGTTTTAGTTCGCGCAGTCCAGCAGCCCAGCCTTCCTCGACCTATGTACTACAGCGGGTCTGCGTCATGGGGAGGTATATTGAACGCAGATATTGAATATGCTGGTCCCCTTTCGTACCGTCGACTGAAATTTAACAACACTGTCGGTCAGGAATGGCGCTTGGGCAATCCCGTTTGTCATGAGAAACAAGGCCGACATCAGCTATCAAACCTTTCGTATTGGGGAGAAACTGCTGAGGTACAACAACAACAAAAAATGGTTAGTGGTGGTTCCGTTCGTGGCGCGTTTTTTTCGTCTGTGTGTTGTAGCATATGATAGGCCAGTAACGGAGCGAATTCAGCATTTGTGCAAGTAAGGGGGAGGGGGAGGGAAACAGAATCTTCAATTTTGTCTCCCCTGCCCCCCCCCACCCCCCACCCCTTCTCCATGAAGCAAACATATTTAAAATGCAAGGCATAAGTTCCCCACCTTTTGTCATCGGCCTTCCCACTCGACCCCGGTAAACAACATTCGTTCTTCGCCATTGATTCGCGCGCGTGAAACAGAGGTATACATGATATAACGTTGGCATAACGTTCGTCTTGGTCACCTATATAATATTTTACTTTTTCTTTTTTTAACTTTGAGATTATGACGACAAAATCGTAATGTTGAGTCGATTTGACAGACTACAACGCTTATTCGTCGGCAGAAGGCAGAATTCTGCGAGCCGGAACGCAAGTCCCGCGTTGTGAAGACCTCGAAGGAGTTAAGTGATGAAAATGTTTGAAAAAGTGACGAAAACGTTGTTTTAACGGCTCGAGTTCGACATAAGCGGAAGGCGTTTTAAGTGCAACTCTTAAGAACTTCAGCATTCAAAAGCATATATTCAACAACTACGCCTATACGGCGTTTGTCAGAGCTACTGCGTTTCTTTGGAAAATTCACATCCTATGCCAATCAATTGAAACACTATGGGAGAACGTGTGATAGGTTCTCAATGCGGCGCTCATAACTCCATCATCGGGAGAGAAAAACCTTCGTGCGGCGCTGTCGACGCTCATCAAAGCAAGCAAGCTCAATCAAACGGATCCTAAAGTGCCTATAGCACTTTCAGGGTTGATTGGCTGCGTAGCTGAACAAGACTTTTCTTATGTATATTTAGTCATTTTCTGTGCTCCTTCCGTGCTTTCAGCCTCAGTGATAACGCGTATTGTGGACCTTCATTTAAGAAATGAACTCATTTTGAAGTTACGCCTCTCCACCTGCCGACAGCACATGTGCATTTTCATTCATTTCTCGCGAAGGAAGCCTTACAGAATGTGGTTGTCGGTGTCATATAACCATAAATGAAAAGTGGCGTAAACCTCCTGTAGCCCAAAGTGAATAACTAGAAGTAAGTAGACAATGTAATTAGAACGAGATATGAGACTGACGGAGGCTGGAATCGAATATGCAAATGTGTTATTGAGTCGACGAATACGAAATCAACGTATTTTCTACAAGGTAAACATGCATCTGAAGAACAATCAGCGGGTCGCTTAAATTTCTGTTTGATGTATGCTGATTACTGCTGAATTCTTGTTTTACTTTGACGAGGATTTCATTTGCTCACAGGCATTCATAGTTTACATTATAGGTAAGATGTATGTAAGCATCTCCCCCCCATTTTTTTTTTCGTGTTTGATTACTTCTGCGCATATTGATCTCTGTAGGAAACGTGCAGATCCGAATGAATTGAACTTCATGCTTGTATAATACAGAGCTGCTCCTGCTCTAACAAACCTTGAATAGCCTTTGAACCTTCTTTTCGAAGCTCTGGCCTGAGCTTTTGGCGTTTTGCTCCGTACCATCATTTCATCTCGCCGTTATCTTGAGGGCAGTATATTCCAGACACCCATAACACTACATCATATGTTATGAGTCATAACGCCCCTCTCCCAATAAAAAGCGATTACATCCAGTCCGAACACTTTTTTCTTTTCATTTACTTTTTTCAACGAAAGCACTCTTAAAGGTAGCTTCGGAGGAGGCCTCAGCGTTAATAATTAAGTGAAGTCATATGATATAATCACAAAGCGCATTTACATTTATGGCAAAGTGTGGTCACGCGAGGGTAAATGGCTGTTTATAGTGACTCCGCGCATCTACATTTTGCTTGTCATCGATTGCATGGAGTTATGTTGTGTTTGCTCGCGGGGATACTCGCGATTCTGGGCACCGCCAAGCACCACCCATTTCTTTTTTCTTTTTTCTATACAGTAAGTCAGAGAACCAGCAAGGAGATATATAGTTCTTCCGTGGTAGAAGCGCCATCGCCCGACTATACAAAGTTCGTCGAGTATTTCGGGCGGCTCAAATCCACGCGCACAAAAACGCACGCCATGGTTGATGCACTGAATAAACTGAAACGGCCCATGTAGTGCAATCAAGCGCAACGGTACAACTTCCGACATTATTGTGGATGCTATCCGCTTCACCTGTAATTGGCGCGCACGTCGCACGCGACTGCCGCGGCAATCAGTTGAATGAGCGTGTTTGCATCTTGTTATCTATTTGTATCTGTATTCTCGTCTGCCTACAAATAAAGCTTAATAACAACGTTGCAACTGTAACCCAGCAACCTCGTGCACGGAAACTGTAATTTATTTAGTCACTTGATAAAACACAAAAAGACAAACTTAACCTTGACAGAAAGGTGGCGTGATGAATGCCAAGTGGAAAATTCACGCCACGGTTGCGGGATTGTTTGCGGACGTCAGCAAGGCTGTGTGCAGAGTTGCGTAACTAGTCCGGTGTCATTAGAATACCATATAGAGCAGCAAAATGGAGGCCGGTGGTGGTTCTTGCGATCTTCCGGCGGGCTGGGAAAAGCGGCTGAGTCGATCAACGGGTGAAGTTTATTATCTGAATTCTCTCACAATGGAGAGCCAGTGGGACACTCCAAAAGAGCCTGCGCAGGTCGGATACCTGGGAGTCGTCGGGAGCGCTCAAGTACGGTGTTCGCACATACTACTCAAGCACTGCGAGTCGCGCCGGCCTTCCTCATGGCGCGAAGAACATATCACCCGAACGCGAGACGAAGCGCTTGCCCTCATCGAGCGCTACCGCGACCAGATTGTGTCCGGCGAAAAGAAGTTCGAAGAGATGGCGGTAATGTACAGCGACTGCAACTCTGCGAAGAGGAAAGGTGACCTGGGTATTTTCGGCCGCGGTGCTACGCAGAAGCGTTTCGAGGAAGCTGCCTTCGCGCTGAACGTGGGCGAGCTGTCCGAGCCCGTGTTCACGGAGTCCGGCGTTCACCTGATCCTGCGAACCGCCTAGGTGTTATCATGTACTCGATGCTGCATACATACCTCCGCTGCGTGATGTCGATGGTTGGAATGACTCAGCCAGTGTTGGACCGAACAAGTGTGACTTTTAACGGGCGCTCCGGCGCGCTGCAGATGTCGAAGGTTACAGCACGAACATTTCATATGCTGACAGAGTGGGTCACGCACTGGAAGTGTTTTGCGAAAAGACATCGCTGTTTTGCTTTCATTCCATGTAACTTTTGCTTTATCAGTCATATTAAAAGTTTGGTTGAACTAAGAGTTTGGTTGCCTTGTTTTTTTTTTTTTTTTGTATAAGCTGCCGTTTTCCGACTTGCATAAGGGGGTATACCGTGGGGTAGACTGTTGAGCTGAGATCAACTTAACAGTGACAAGTTCAAAAAGCTGGTTTCGTTGTCCCTTGTGTTGGTTGCGTTCCCTAGCTGGGAAAAACTCAATTTTTTAAAATTGTTTTCCGTGGCAATGAATATTGGGTGGGTCGTTTCGTATTTTGTATGTACATAAGTTCGCCTTGGGCAATGTAACTTGGTGCCTCCTAATTCGGCAAACATACTGAATTGACGGCATTTCTGTTCATTTTATCAGTATACGGTTATCAGCGTCTCCTCCATTTTGAGGTTGGGGGAAAGTGAACAAGGCGTCCATAAAAGACGCTCTTGAGACAGTCATATGCTGTCCTGACGGACAAAGGCATTCGCAACTTCAACGACATCTCATTGCAGCCTCCATCGTCACCCAAACTAAATGTTTCGTAGCATTTGCGTGTACAGGTTTACCTATTGGGTGGGGGAGGGGGGGGGCAAATTTTTATTTTTCCGCCGCCCTTCCTTCCACCTGTTGGTAGAGTCCAAAAGACAAAATGAATGCTTCACAAATGCTGAAGAAATGCAAATGGAACGATGACTTAGTTCTCACAAAGGCAGACCTTTCGTCCCAGGCGTTCTGGGAGTTAACATGGAAAGTAAACAGTTCTTGGAATACAGCATTTGGCCACCATTACTGATCGAAACCTGCGGGGCCTTATCCCTGTTTTGTAAACAGATTTAGTTGGGCGTCCGCAGCAGCTCTGCGGGTGCAGCCTGCCAGCCATTTTCCTTGACAGGCTGCGTCCGCAAAGCGGTTGCAGACACGTGAATAGCGTACGAAAAGTTTGCGGTTGCCCGCCATCACCGTCACTTAAAGGGGTCCTGCGAGAGGTTAGTGTACGACGCATGCTCAAACGCTAACGCAAAGCTGCGCGTATGCTATTCCAAAACTGCATGTTCACTTGAGTGAATACATGTGGCCCACTATGCGCCACCCTTCACGGGAATAGGGAAAGGGTTCTGATAGGGAACTGTTCCTAAACAAGTTCTCTACGTGTCGAATGTACGCCCGATTTTAGAATATGCTTGCACTGTCTGGGACCCGGCCGCAAAGTTAAATATTGGTGCATTGGAGCGCATTCAGAAACGGGCCGCCCGGTTTGTGACGGGTGATTACGACTTCACCAGAAGCTCTAGCGAAATTGTTAGTTCACTTGGTTGGCCGTTACTCTCCTCTAGGCGTAAATATATTAGGCTATGTCTTTTCCACAACCTAGTAAACGACAAAACTGGGATTGATAAAGGCAAATACATCAGACCACCAACATACATCTCATCACGACGGGACCATCCTTTGAAAGTGTGTAAATATATGTGCCGAACATCAACGTATTGTTGCGAAGCCACCTCCGAAATCCCGCCGCTGACCTCCACTGTTGCGAAGGCTGGACCGATCCCGCCGAAGCCACCACTGTTGCGAAAGACGGCGACGCCAACACGGCCCCGGAGGCGCCACTGCTTTCAACTCCGCCGGGAAGGTCACCAGCCGTTTGGTAGCGTATGTTTATCAGCTCGCGACTGCTTCTGCGCAGAGCTGATAAGATGAGCGGACGAGACGACGGTGAGTTAAACAAGGTTTATGTACAGCATATTTACAGAGGCGTTACAATTTCGGCACTGGGGCCGACAGAGACTCGAAGAGCCGAGCTCTTCTCTCTAACACATAGGTCAGTCTTCACCTAAGACCGCTGACTCACACACATGTCGGCACTCCGACACGGGGACGCCTCTCACATAGGACCGCCGATCGCGACGCGCCGCAGGGCTTCTTTTATTTACACCGGGTCCAACCAAAGTGTCCAATCAGAAGCGCCGCTGGTCGTCCGGGCAGATTCCGCCAATGGGGGTCGCCGCGCCATGCGTCAGACCACCAGGCACGAGAACGCCGGCTCGCTGTCACGTGCGCAACTGACTCACTGCACGTGGGCCAGAGGAGCGCCGCGCGTGTTCACGCCGTCGAGGTGATCGCGCCAGGCAGACTGCGGGCTGGCCTTGACCCAGATTGCCTTTTTCAGAGGCACGGTCGTTTGACGAGGACTCGCTGGCATAACAGCACCCCCGCCGCCAGACAATGCACCGGAAAGACGAGCTGCTTCCACGGGGCTCGGATGTCAGGTGCGCTCGTTCGCCAGGTCCCTCCAGGTTCGCCTCCAGGGCCATGGGGAGACTACAGCTCCAGACTGTTCCGGGAACACATCCCATTTTGACGACGGATCCCAGCTCCACGGGCTTGTCGCCACAACTTGCTGGCCAACTTCGCTCGTCTCTTCCGACCATCTTCGGTTTCAGCACTTGTCGATGGTTCTGCAACTTGCTAAGAACGGTTCGACAACAGACAACACACGACACAAGCAAGTGCCCTCGGTCACCCAACAGAACACCAGACAAAGTATAGAACAACAAATACCTATCTACGTGTCTATCGGAATTTCGTTCCCCCTACATCAAGAGGCACATGTGGGACAAAAGACTCTTAAAATGACAACTCAATTTTTTTTTTCCACGTACAACAACGTAACGAATTAGAATACCACATAAAGTTGGCCCCTTGAGATCACTCTGAACGAGAGCGCTCAGCCCAGGTCGTGATGAGGTCAAAATTTTGCCCCGAATCACCAGCCAGAAACCGAAAGGTTGAGAAGTTACTAGCTGGAACGCACTGCTCAATGCACCTGCATTAGCGTATAGCTTTCTCTTTTTTTTTTTTTTAGCGAACGTCAAAGTTGCCCTGTCGGAGTACCACGCTCCATCTCAGTAACCGGTCACTTTTAGGCGACGATACCTATGCGGTACCAAGAGCGGCTCACACTTGCGACGTTCCACAGGAGAACAACGATACGGCTTGCTATGGACTGGCTCCTCACCGCTTAGCTCGATATCGTGTTCGATCCCCCTCGTGTTTCCGGGGCGGTCCGAAAACACGTCTTCAAACTCGGAACCAATCTTTCTCAGGTCCTCTTTCTCAGGTCCTCCTTCACTTAAGCTAGGCTCTAGGTTTATCTGCTCCCGGATTACTTTCGATCCCCCTTCGATCACCTCGCTAGAACTCAAATTTTCTGCTTCCTCTTCCTCTGAAGCCTTCAACAGCTGATTTACGACCGCTTGATGTTGAACATTGGGTTTCATCAAGTTGTAAATTTTGTTCTGCCGCCTTCCTACTTGCACCTCATAAGTTGTATCGCAAGGCTTCGATAATACTGTGGCGGGCCCTTCCCAATCAACCTCAAGCTTGTTCCTTTTGGGTGGCTGCAGCCGCATTACCTGATTATCAACTTCAAAAGCGCGCTTCTTCCCCGATTTCTCGTAGTGCTCCTTCGACAGCACTTTTGCCGCGTTTTTCTGGCTTTCCACTCGCGCTTCAATTTGGCTTTCCACTAGCGCTTCAATCGAGAAATCCTCACGTTGCTCTCCAATGAGCGTCTCTCGATCAACTCTCGGCAGCTCGCTCCAACTTTCCGCTACAGGCGAGAGCGTTGCAACCCTCTCGCTCTGACTCAATGGCACCACGTCGTCTCCCCTTTCTCCGGAAACCGCGCCGGTCGTGTCGACGACGGGCCGCTCGCGTGACTGCTCCCATGACTCATGCGGAAACTTTCCTTTCTGGGGTTCCGTCGACCCGCCGACAAGGTCACTTGAGAGTTCACCGCATGGAACCAGATCAAGCTGCCGCGATAGCTTCCGAGTTTGCGATCGCGTGAGAGCCATGCACGCTAAGTTGGGGAAGAACGATTTGCCCTGCTCTTTGAGAAGCTGCTCCGAGTTGTTGGAGAAAAGATAAGGAAAACGATCGTTCAGCGCGGCAGACACCGCTGCTTCGGTGCAAAGCTTACCGAACGGGCCTTCAATGACAACGGTGGCGATTGGTAAGCGAACACTCTGCTCCTCGGCGACCTGCCTGATCCACGCGCATTCTCCTGTGAAGTCATCCGGAGACACCAATGAAGGGTGGACAACGTCCATGGTTGCCGCTGAGTCTCTAAGTGCTCGGCACGTTTTCTTATTCACCCTAATTTCTTGGAGATACGGCTCCAACAACCGAATGTTTTTCTCTGATTCTCGGATCGTTGCGAAGGCAAACTTTTCCTGACAGTTTCTCGCGATGTGCCCTTCCTTTTTACAGTTGTAGCAGATTAGCGGCTTCCGTTTGTTTTCCGATTCAAATGCCTGTGTGGTAGAAACCTCACTCGATTTCTCCGCTTCTGCTTGCCCTTCCCCTACACTGTCCTTAGTAAGAGATGGGTCCTTTTTGAAATTACGGTGCGGAACGGGTTTCCGTTGATCAGGTTGCCTGGAAAAGCCCTCTTTTCTCTCATCTTTTTCAACGCGCACTGCCCTGCTGTGCAACTTTCGGCGAGTATAATACTCCTCAGCTAACTCTGCTGCCTTGTTTAACTGTACGTCCCCAAGTCTGTCCTGCAGCCAAAGTTTGACATCCTCCTCGATGCAGCGGTAGAATTGCTCCAATGCAACGCATTCCACCACTTTATCGCGGTCGTCATAAACACCTTCGCCCTTGAGCCATTCAATTAAATCGGCTTTAAGACGAAACGCGAAGTCAACGTGTGACTCATTCCCCTTTTCAGCATACCGGAACCTTTGTCTGAAAGCCTCGGGTGACAACTTATAACGTCTCAAGAGCACTTCCTTAACCTCGTCATAGCTCTCAAACGCTTCCCTCGACAAGCAAGTTATCGCGTCGGACACTTCGCCGGGAAGAAGAGCTAGCAGGTTCCGCGCCCAAAGAGGCCGCTCCAAAGCGTTTCGCTCACAGACGTGTTCAAACTTGACGAGATACTTCGCCATGTCCTCGCCTACTACGAACGGTGGCAGTTGGTCCCGAATTCTAAAACCGCTGACCTGAATCGTCGGAGAAGCTACGCTAGGCGCCTGCGAACA